AACTCCTTTTTTACCCAAGTACTTCCAAGCTTCAATAGGGATATCATCGGGTCCTAAAGCCTTATTTGATTTCATCTTCTTAAGTGCAATCTCTACTTCAAAGTTCCTAATCCTGCGATAGAATCTATAGTCCTGGTTTATCGTATTACTGATTATTTCTTCCCCTATTGTTGTACTTCCATGTTCCTCATTTAACAATTTCTCAAAATACTTCTTCCATCTTTCCTTAATCTCATCATCCTTCACCAATACCTTAGAAAAATGAACCAAAACCAGCTGGATTTGTATTTTTTGTGAACGCAGATTAGCCAAGCAAGATTTTGAGGTATCCAACATTATGAACTGTAGATTCAGCACTACAGGCTTGGATGCGAATACTATGAAACAAAAAGGCAAACGCACTTGAATATATCGCTCAGTATTAGTTTATTCCATCAACTAAAAGCACTACACTTTGCCACCTTGAATTATCAATTTGCATTAATGTGAACATTCTGTTAAGGATCCATTACATAAATGGATAAAAAATTGTCATATGACATGAACATGAAATCTTAAATATTGTGATATGCTTAAAATGACCTATTTATTTTCTTTCTATTTTCTCTCTCTTTCTCCTTCCCTTCCCTTCCCTTCCCTTCCCTTCTTTCTCTTATCCATGCCAGCAGCCACGATTGCTGCCATGAGTAGGAGACAGGAACAGGAAAAAAGAGGGGATAAATTCTAATTTTCCTAAAAGTAAAAGGTCTTCAAAAAAGCCAGACTAATCTAGGGAACATAAGAGAGATGGAAAATGGGTAAATTGCACTTTTCACCCTCAAACTTTCACTCTGGTTCCTCATCTTCTAAATGCAACAATTAGGTTATCAAACTTCAACATGTGTTTCAATGTGGTCCTCCAGTCATCCCACTGTTTGAAATTTTAGTAAAAGTTGAATTTAGGTGGAAGTTTTGAGGATGAAAAGTGTAATTTATCATTAAAAAAAGGCCCTTAAAAATGTGTTCATGTCACTTCCCGTCCAAATATTTAACGATAATTGATAGAAGGACCAAATGGAAAAAGATTTAAAGTCTGATAAGATCAGGTATCAAAGTCAAATTCAGAAGTAAGGTTAAGGGTGAAAAGTGTAATTTCCTCAGAAAAGAAAAATAATCTAGAAGATGCACAAAAGTATGCAACTAATTCCAGCTGCGGCTTACAAGAAATTCCACCCTCGACAAGCTCAGGAAAAAAAATGACAAAGGTCACTGGAGTGTGGTTATTAAAGTTCTCAATGCCACTATTGTTAATTGACCATCATATTTTACTTAAGTAGAGAGAAATATTTGGAATGACAAACATATAAATATACTTACCACGGCCTTGAGCAAACGGTGCCCCTGATCCACCATTGTAACCACCCAAGTCTTGTTGCATATCCCCACCACCATAGCCTCTTCCACGTCCAAGAAAACCGCGGCATCTTCCCCTAACTCGGCCTCTTCCACCATATCCACGTCCACCATCCCATCCACCATCTCCATTGTTTCTACTCCATGTAGAAGATATAGATTGTAGCTATTACGCTTCGTAAGGAGTCAGGATAGAGGGGCAAGAACAATGCACTATAATCCACAAAAGCAAAACTATAGCCAATGACAAACAGTTTTGTAGCTATTACATTTCGTAAAGTGTCAAAATAGAGGGGCAAGAGTAAAGCAATATAATCCACGAAGCAGCACTATAACCACTGACAAAGGGTGCTGAAAATTAATATGTTGACCCCTAACAGAAATGTTTCTTAACCAAACATTGTCCAATTTTTAAAATATTTCATCAACTATCATAACTTGAAACCCAATTCCTGTACCCATTGTGATTTCACATTCTAGTGTGAACTGTTGCAAGTCTCCAGCAATCAGTGGCGGAGCCAATTAAGGCCTAGAAGGGGCATGTGCCCCTCCTCAACTTTGAAAAACTTGCATTTTCACCTAATGTTTTGAAAATATCTTTCAATTTGCCACCTCAAATTATATATTCCCCTATATTTGTTTAATATATAACCCATCTTTTTTAATTTTTTCAAAAAAAAAAAAAATACTACAATTTATCCATTCAATTTTTTATTATTAGAGTTCAACTTCTGAAAGTTTTATTTCAAGAAACCATGTCCTTGATTGGGTCATCAAAATAGGAAGAGTGTCGGAACAAATACTTTTATAGGTGTTCTCCTATTCTTTCTATGCCAAGGTTTGAAACCCACAATATAAACATCATCTAACCAACCAGGCCATCAGGCTACCATATGGAACCACATTCAATGTGGTGCTATACAGGGAACTTATTTGAAGTATCACCAAGAGCTGGTTCTATCTGTTGAGCAATATATGCTTGATCAAAATTTGAATCTAATTCCCCCAGAGGATACTCTAGGGACCAAACTGGAAGAAAGAAGACAGATCTATGTGAAATAGTTTGAACACAAAAATCCATCGATTAGTGCTCTATAGTATACTTTCTTTTGTTTCTAGGGGAAGCAAAAATTATTTTGATGGCCTATTTTCTAACGCTTCAAAGCCCAAACCCACATGTATATAGCGATCCCGGGTTTACCCTTGTTGTACAGTGATCCGGACATGTGTCCGTGGATGTTGGTAGTTGTCTATTATCTCGTTTGCATCCTTTTTACTTTGTATATTGAGTTATAGGATGTGTTGGGCAGGTTTGTTACAGGTTGGTTGAGTTTGGGAGCCTAGTGCTGCTGCCCAGATTTTTGGACCTTCGCTCGAGCGAGGAGTTGGTCGCTCGAGCGAGAGTTGAGTTCGTGTCTGGTGGGTCGAGCCAGAGTGGCTTCGCTCGAGCGAGCGCTTGCACCTGGTTTTGGACCTGAGAGTTGCATTTCTTGGCTCGAGCGAGCTTTCGTCGCTCGAGCGGTCTGGTTTGTTCTTCGCTCGAGCGAGAAGTCTATCGCTCGAGCGTGCTTCTGGTTGCAGACCTAAGGGTTTGTGTTGTTGGCTTGAGCGAGCGTTCTTTCGCTCGAGCGCACTTTTGAGTTTTTGGCTCGAGCAAGGACTTCTTGGCTCGAGCGAGAGTTTTCTGTGTCTGGTCGCTCGAGCGACAAAGGCTTCGCTCGAGCGAGCGTGTTTTATATCAGCGGACAGTAGCGTTTTTGAACATCACTTTTTCACTTTCTTTTTCTTTCAAACCCTAGATCCGAGACTCTCTCTCTCTAAACTTACATTCTCTCTAAGAATTGATCTCCCTAGAGTGTGAATCTAACCTAGGGCCTTTGTTAAAAAGATAGAGGGCATTGAGAGCTTCAATTTAATCTAAAAAAGTTTGGATTTGGAGCACGTTGATCTTCGAGTCTACATCTCCTTTTTGGCTCAAACTTCGAGGTAGGGATATCCTACTCCTCTCTATGAGTTTTGTCTTTAAATTTTAGTATTTTGAGATGTTGGGGTTGGTTTGGTAATTTTGTGAAAGTTCAAGTAAAAGGGTGTAATTTTACAAAAGTTTTTGGTTTTATTCATAAAACCTAGATGCATGTTTCATAGAGAAATGGAAAATGGTTGAATTCATTGATGAAAATGGGACCTAAGGGTTGGAAATGTTAATATATGGGAAAATGACCTAATTACATGTTTTGATTAATTGGGATAATTATTGTGAGAAAGGGAAATGAAATGTTTGATTGAATACCATTTGTGCATTATTTTCTGTTAGAAATAATTGCTTTTGGGCTATCGGTGGGAGGATAGTCGTGATTGTTGTAGACAATGCATGAATGATTAGGCAAACAGAAACTAATCAATGGAATGTATCATGGAATTTGACGGTGATTTTAGAATACATTAACTAATATGTATTGATGATTGTATATAGAACCAATGTGTTTTGTATACGTTATGCTGTATGAGGAGGAGAATGGGGGATGTACTCCGCGGTTTAGGGGAAGATAGCGGGATGTACCATCATAAACCGGATAGTGTTGGGAGAAGATAGGGGATGAACTCCCGTAGATTACAGCTCATATGCTTGTCTAGAAAAGTGAAGATAGAAGCTTATATGCTTATTTTGTGAAGTGTGGATACCACTTGTATGCTTATCTGTGAATATGGGATATTGTTGTATACATATCTGTGAGAATGTGGAACAGCTTATATGCTTATCTATGAATGTGGAATATCAGTTTTATACATATCTGTTGAAATAATGATAGAGCTAACATGCTTATCTGTGGAAAAAGGGAAAATGAAAAGTAACTTGGACTCATAAGTCGTATGACATAAAATGTGATTTATGCGGATGTATCAGTGTTGGCCATCTATCAATTGCTAATCTTTTAGTCATTGTTCATGGTTGGTTTAGTGTATTTCTACTGGGCTGTGGCTCACCCTATATGGGAATACCATTTTCAGGTGCAGGTAGCATGCCACCTCCAAGGACATAGCTTGGGAGGCTTGAAGCAGACATACTTTTGTCGTTTTCTTTTGATGTATTACATGTAATTTCAAGCCAAGGGCTTAACGTGTAAATGAGTTAGTACTCTTTTGTTGTAACCAAGTGTTAACTTGGAAAGCTGTAAGCCCATGGGGCATTTGCTTTTGTTGTTAACATGTAATACTTTTTGTAATGAAACTCTGATAAATAAAAGAATGTGGTTGTTTCATATATCAACGGATGTCTTATTTGATGGGCTTAATGTTATTATTTTGAGGGCGTTACATGTAACTAATGCTTCAAAGCAAACCTACATGTGCATGAGGTGCAACACTCATCCCTAGATGAATGGAGCTTAAGCCACACTCTATTCAAACTACAAGTGGAAGGAAGACAGAACTTTAAGGATGATAGCAGACCACCAAAAGATTGGTATTATGCATTGTGCATTATAAAGTGACCTTTCACTTGTATATCAGTTGTCTGCCGCAAAATTTCATTCCAGTCAACCACCAACAAGAATCAACCCATTTGAAATAACTCCATCTTATGTTTAATTCACTTCTTTCGCTTAAATATCTGTTGTTCATATTTATTTTTTCTAAAATTCCTGTATTTCCTATAAATTCTGATCTATTTCAAAATCAAAAGTTAGGTTAACACCCTATATACAACAACATGGCAGAGAATGATCAATGTTCACAACCTCAAGTAGCATGACTTTATTGAGTTAATTAGTTCTCATAATCTTTCTTTCAAAATATTCATGGTAATCTCACACAACATTTGTCACGGCTTTAAAGGAATTTAATAATTCATGGTAAAACTTCTTTTGTAGTACTTGTTCATCTTTTTTTGACAGTCGCACATTTAAAAGCTGCACAGATAACAATCAAATGAAGAACGCAATTGCTTAAAGGCACCATCAATGTTATTTCCAAAAGCAGAATCAAAGGAACAAAATGCAGAGAATTTTATCTCTTCCTCTACCCCTTCCCCAACCACCACGTCCTCTCCCACGCATATTAGGAGATCCCTCTAGTTCCACACAAGATAACCTAATTATAAAAATATTTTAGAAAAAAATAATATAGACAATTATATAATATTTATTTACCTCCTTCATAATCATATTCATTCCATGGTGTCACTTGATCAACCGAAATAGGTGTTTGGTATCTGCGATTTAGTTAGAAGATAGGACACTAATCATTAGCAACTCAAATGTTCAGATACACTTGATCATACTAAAAATCCTACATAAATTTAAAGGTTCTCAACCATAGAACAAGACTTAAAAAGACTATGATTATCATCAACCATTAACTACAAAAGGAAACAAAGGGCAGGATAGCTCAAATGTAGTCAGATTTTGAATAGCTCCCATTAAGTCCTATTGAAAATAAATCCAAGTAAAATCGTCGCTAAAAATAATTTTGTGGCGATTTTTTGCATGTCGCTAAAAATTGACAATTAGTGACCTTTTTTTTGTCACGGTTTGTATAAATTGTTGCTAAAACTTACAATTAGTGACTTTTTTCTGTGATGAATTTTTCAAACTGTCGCTGAAAGTTAAAAATTAGTGACTTTTTTGTGACAATTTTTTCAAACTGCCGCTAAAACTTATAATTTACTGACATTTTTTGTGACAATTTTCAAACTGTTGCTGAAAATTAACAATAAGTGTCGTGACATTTTTTAATAGTACTTGATAAAAAACACAATTAATCATCGTAGGACTTATTGGACAATCCACCTATTAGGATATACACGCAAGTACCCCTATAATTTGGGCATGCATTCTTTTTTAGGCTCACCATTACACAATCTAATCATTTTTTCAAGTAAATCTAGAGAAAGACTCTTTGTATAAAACCTAAATTCTATTCATTGAATCATTGTTTAGATTGTTATTTTTTTGTTTGCTGGTTGACACTCAATGATTGTACAATTCATCAAAGGTGGCTCTGCATGTTCTATTCAATACAAGTCAGAGAAGAATCCAACTTGGAATTTTTAAAAATGAAAAAAATAATAAATAAATAAAAACTGAACCAAGTCAAGATGAAATGGATCATTTTCCTCTTTGCAACTCCTATGTTTGAAGCAAGATGTTGTCTAATTAGACCATGAATTACAAATGTCTAGAAAAGTTTCATTGCTACTTCACAAGGCAATCCACATCAATGTAATGAAGGTGAAGGACCCATGACAATGACAGAACGCCCCAAACAATTGATCTATTTGCCAAGCATGGCATGGCAGCTCATCAAGCATCAATATCATCTATAGTCACCAAAATAGAATTACTGTCCACACACCACCAAAAACACACATGACCAACCTTGGAGGCTTAGGACCTCCGTAATTACCTTAATCATACATATTATCTCAGAAGTGATATACACTAAGAAGGGAGTTATACAGCTATATGATCAGAGGAGAAGGATTCACATAGGCTAGCATTTTTCACTCTTAAGTAGTTTATGCAACCCTTTATTAAGGATTACAGGCTCTTCACTATGTAAAAAATATCAGAGCAGCAAAAACACCTCCAAGTGTAGGTTGTCAATGTTAGATGAATATGGATACCTTACACAAAATCCCATCCCTGGGGACCTCTTGAATTACTGACCGCATATGAACATTCACGAGTATTTACAAACTTCCTAATTAATATGGAACGGTAAAGGGTTCCACTTGTGGGCAAGAATAAGCACACTTATGGCATGTATGTAGGCTAGCAACTCTTCGCTGAGGGCCTCAAGAAGCAATAATAATTTATAAACACATATACACAAAACAGATACAAATATACATAAGCCATACTTGTACAATCCTGCATTAATATCACCCACTAATAAATGATCACAACCTTCCATCCCTAACCCAAAATCTCAAGTTGATTATTACGAACAGAAATAACGCAAGGGAAGAAAGTAAAATTTACCCTGCAGAAGATTTATCCAGTTCCTTCTTGGACAAAGTAATTGTTATCACTGAGACATGGTGAGTAGTTTCTAGGCTGCACTAGCAAAAAATCTATCAGCCTAATAACCATCAAAATGGCACTTGACATAATGACTAGTTCACAAGCATAAGAAGATGTTTTGCTTCTTACGGAAGAAGGCCTTCTTCTAATGGTTCCCATGTATCGGTTATATCCATTGAACCAATTGATGTATTCTGATGGAGACTAGTAATCCTTCTCTGATACAGAAAACTCTTTTCCATCAGCCTGTAATACATAGAAGACAGCATACACAATTTTTCTGGGGAGGGGGGGAAGGGATATTTGAACAATTTCCCACATGAGCCAAACAGGAGAAAAGAACCACCTTAATCAATTCAGCAATCATCATAGTTTTGTTGATAGCTCTGCCCATGGCCTTTAGAGCAATTTCATTGGATCCTTTCTCCCACAAAAACATTAAATAAACAAAAAATAAATAGGAATTAAGAAAGAGAAAAGAGAATAAAAGTAAATCTAAAGACCAGAATAAACAGTGAGGCACAAACAGTTTGCATGGTGTTGGATTGTCATGAGATAGAGTTTATATGGCGATGGACAATCGTTATGGATATTCAATTATGTATTTATTACAATAAAAAATAATATATATTTTTTTTAAAATTTGAAAAACTAATACTATGTTTGATTTAGAATTGCTAAAGTTATTTTTGAATTTTCAATACATTTTTTTTTGTTTTAAGTGAATTTTATTAATATTTAAATTAAAAAATGTATTTTTTAAATTAAGTTAATCTAGATATAATTAAAAAGTAAAATACTTATAAAAAAATATATAAATACAAAAAATATAAAAAAATAAATTATTTTTTATATTTGGTGTAATTTAAATTTTTTTAAATAAAATTTATACTTTTAAATGTATCTAAATTTTGTATTTTTTTTTCTCAAACTGAGTCATAAAACTCCAATAAAATAATATTAATTTAACAAGCATAACATATTTTTCACATCTACAAAAAAAAAAAAAAAAACAAATCCATGCATCAATGGCTTTTACCACTCACTTAATTTGAAATTTCTTCTCAAAATTTAGGACCCTCAAAATTTTGCCCTCAATCCCTCCTACGTTTCTCATGTCTCTCTCTCCCTTTCTCTCACGAACGATTTTGTTGGTCCCATTCCACGGTTGTACCGCCTGAAATCCAAAGTCGACACTGCCGATTCACGAACTTGGACTATTTCATTCTGACCAGGTAAGTTGATTTAATTTTAGTTACATTTGTGCCAAGAGATTTAATTGGATCATGCAACCCCACTACCATTGTATTCAAGTCCAGTTCTTCGTTTGTTGCCCACTAACTGTTAGTAAAAGAGCGTTGTGTATTTTTTTTGGGTAGAGAAGGATGATTTTGACATTACTCTTAAGTTTTTTCGCTATATGCTCTATTGAAAATAAAATTTGAGCCAAATGGGAAGCTCTCTCAAAGCTGTTACATGTGAGAAATTATAATGGTGATCATGACATCATCTTTATGGTTCACATTGTTTGTTGCAGCTAATAATTTGTCATGTGCATTGTTTGGTATTTTATTTTAATTTTAATTTTAATTTTTTAGAATTATAGAGTACATGTTGGACAAATTCGCGCCCACTGCTGTCTTTTCTCTTATGCTTTTTCTTTCTCCCAACCTTAATCTCTATCACCTCTCGCACTAGACCTCCTCTCTTTAGTTTTTTCCTTTCTCTCAGATCCACTTATCCTTTCCCACCGCAGCTCACCTATGCCCTTCCTGACTCTGGCTGCTGCAAGTGGTACTGTCATCCAGCACAAGGTAACCTGAAGAACATTATCATAGCCCTTCGATTTTTTTGGAGTCTTAAAGTGGTATTTTTTGCCTAATTTTCTTGTTTAAATCTTCATGTTTGTATATGTTGTTGACATTAGAAAAGAGTATTGACATTGGATTACTATATTACAGTTTTTACATTGCTGAATGTAACTATCTATATATTGGAATCCATTTTTAGCTCTTTAATCTAATTCTTTTTTCCTTCTCTGTTAACACTGCATTCAACACTGTTCTAGTCACAATATGATCACATAACCCTTTTGCTTTACATTTGCCTTTGGTTTATCTATTACAGAAACTTAGTGAGTGAATGTTAGTAGGTTATTTAGACTTTAGCTACATTTTATGCTTTTTCTTTTTATTTGTGTTTGTCCTTTTTCTTTTGGTGTTTACTCCTTCAAACTACACTATCATTATGGCATACTTGCCTTTTTAATGTTATATTTCTTTTTTGGACTATGTTATCTTGATTTTGGCATTAGCTTTTTTTTTTTTTTGTTCATCAGAATTTTATAATTTTATATTTTAATGACTTAATTGTGAATGTGCTTTAGGTTTGTTTGGTAATTGAGACAATGTAAAGAAAGTGTAAAATTTAAAATTATTGAATTGTTGGACATATGATCATTCTATTTGGCTTTAGTTTTAGGAAATTATTTTCTCTCATTTTTATTATATATATATATATATATATATTAGTGCTGCTTGTGACTCATGATAGTAACTTTGGTTATTTGCTCGTGATAGTAACTTTGGTTGTTTGCTCTTAAGGAACCACAAAACACACCGAATCATTCAATGTTTCTCAACTACCAACCAACAAAGGTGGGCCAACATTATCCCACATGTAAAATATTTCACCATGTCATTCATTAGGAGCATCACATACTAATTGAAGCATAAATCCTAATAGAACTAATTGTTCATGCTTTTTGGTGCTTGAATTGAAGTTTGAAAGCATAAATTCTGTTTTTAAAGCTATAGTAATCAATGTCTTTAGAATGCTGGAACTTATGTTTAGAAACAAATGGTTTCTAGTGCTGAAGTTGTTGCATAATTGACAAAATCGAAGTTAAAACATAGAAAACCCAATTCAAATAGTTGAAATGTTGATGAATCAATTTGTGGACATTAACATGAATGAATCGGTTTACAGAAACTAATGGTCTGAAATGTTGATGTTTTATTGATAGTAACAAAAATCAAGGTAGTTCTCAAAAACAAAGATCAACAACCTCGACGGTTTCCATGTGCTTTGTTTTTATTTTATTTTTTAGATTCTTCTTGCAAAGGATCTTCGTCATTCTTCATATCCCTTTGATTTTTTTGGAGTTCTTGAAGTAGTATTTTTTTTACCTAATTGTGTTGTTTAAACCTTCATTTTTGTATATTTTGTTGACATTTGAAAATGAGTATTGACATTGGATTACCATATTGAAGTTTTCACATTGCCTAAACTTCGGGGGTTCAATGATTGGATCAAGTAATTAGTTTAAGTTGGGGATAGATTAAGTGTTTGCTACAAAACTATGATGGTATATGTATTTTGGTAAATTATCAATACTATGATTTTCATTCTATTATTTATTTATTTTTGTTGTTCACAATTTGTTTCTTCAATATGGTGAATGTCTTCTAGGCCTTGTTGTTACTTTTAGCTTTAAATTTGTCATAATCTACCTAAATATGGGATTTATATTCATTTATTTTATTTAAGGAAAGTGTTTTTCTGGTTTGAAACCATATGAAGACTGGTTGTGGAATGTTGGTAACAGAATATAACTAATTATACTTTAGAAAATTGAGTCTCTTTATTTATTTATTTTTCATTAGTAGCTATTGTTTGTTTAATGAATAATTTGCTCTCTAAGATAATGGAGAAAGGAAAATAGTAAGTTGATTTTTTCCTGGTTTTAGAACATTGGGAGGCATGATAACATGAATGTTTATAATTTTTATTGAACAATTGATTAGTGTTGGCCAATCCATCCAATCAATTGCACAATTGATTGGTGGTGGACAAACCTTCCAATCGATTGGTGAATGGATTCGTGTTGGCGAAACCATCCGATCAATTAGACAATCGATTGGAGTGCCCAATTCTTCTGACTGATTAGTTAATCGATGCTTTTGCAAAATTTTAGATGTACAATTGATTAGTTAACTAATTTTGCTGGCTTGTAGAAAAGTGATCTTAGGTCTTTACAGTGTCTGTGGTTGCCAATATTATGATAGGATACATGGCATTAGAATCTATGCATCATCTCCAATTTATCTATCATTACTTAACTAAGGTATATATTATGCCTTTTAAGCAGATTTTTATGAAAATTGTTGATCACAATTTACTAATTACCCAAGTGTTAATGTTGTTTAATTAAATTTTGTCTTAAATGTAATAAGCATTAATTGTTAAATATAAACTATTAAGAACATAGTAATCGTTATTTTAAAAAGATAATTATTGAATTTTAAAAAATAATTCTTTGGTTAAATTAGTGTTAGTTATCAAATATTAATATAATGTGTGTTAGTTTGAGAATTTCGGTTGTTCATTATATGCTATTATTTTAGCTTCCAATTACAGTAGATAGCGAGCGAGCTCTTGAAGTTTCATTGTAGGGGAGATAATGTGAATCCATGAAGCTCCTGGGTTCTCTTGTTGTTACATTTCTCGTGAATAATAAATTAAATTGCATGTTTGGGATGTAAGGGATTTAATTAAATTGCATCTGGTTTAGACCCTATATAGATTGCGTAGGAGTCATTTTAGATGGCAAAGAAGTTAACTAAGTATTGTTTGATAGGGCAAGGAATTGATTTCTTCTTAGTACTTGGTTTTGCACCTACTTGTTGTGCATTTTTTTTATTTATTAGAAAGTAAAATTCATCTTGTGCATTTTTGATGATTTTAAATTTGAACAGGTTGGTACCTGGTGTGAGGAATCACATCGATGCCAAAAAATAGAAGGTCAGTTGTTTAATGATGGAATTTTAGATTTATTTGTTATTTAAAATTTGTATTGGGACTCCGATGCTTATTTGATTTGAAAGTCAGAGGAAGCAATTTATTGACAATAAAAAATTGAGATCAAATATGAGGAAATAATGATTGTGCATTAGAATTTAGCATGAACGTTATTCAACTGGATTATTATTAAATGCCATGTGTCAGTGTTGAATTGATGGGGAAGTTTAGCATGATCTTTTTTTTTATTTTTGTAATAGATAGATCTGATAGATTTGTAGCATTCGATAGTAGATCTAACAATATTTGAAGTTTTCAATGGTAGTTTTGGAAGTTTTGTCCTTGTTTTTCACCCCCTTGATTGGAGCTCACTTTTAGTTCTTTAATCATCAAGTTTAAATATGATAAGAGAAGTGAAGGGTTGGAGATACTCTTTAATAATCAATTTCAAACATTGTGGTGGCCAAGCCCATCTAATCAATTGACCAATCGATTGGTGATGGCCAATCAAATGGTCATTTGATTCCTATGCACATTGTTATTTTGTATAGGACACAGCCAATCAATTGTGTAAATGATTATAATGCACATTTTGTGTAATTGATCATTTATTGATTTTAATAGAATATGAGCACCTTGGTAAAGTGACTTGAAGTCGCATTGAGGTGCTAAGGTTTCCTGGAGCTTAAGCGTGAGGTGCA